GTATTCAGGTTTACTTTTTGCTACTCTTCGTTATGCTTCTTCGTTTTAATAATTTCTATACCATTAGAGAGGCCACTTTTTCTTCGTGTATGCCTTCATCCCTAAGATGTCTTAACCTAATTGGCGCGTTTTACAGTTAGACCTGATTTCTAGTAGTTTTACGCGAGTAAGTAAATACGACTTTTTATAAATTTTTATGTACATCTATGGATCGAAGGTAATGTATTACACTTAAAACTTGTCAGGCGGGTCAATCTGTTCGCTGGACAGCATATATTTATCAATCAGGAACGCAGCTCGAAGATCCCGGCCAGTTTGAATCGGCATCATGTTAAATTTAACAGATATTCAAAGTGAGTCCTTTCCACCTCATTGTAACTGTCACTAGAGATTGGTCTCGCCCTTATGTCCGTCGGAATTGCGTTCATCTTCCTTGGAATGCTACTCTTATTTGACGGCGGTCTTCTAGCCCTTGGAAATGTGAGCCTCCGCTTTCGTTATCATTTCCATAGCTCATCTTCATTCTCGGCCTAGGTCTCTTCATAGGCGCAGAGCGCGTCACACGCTTTTTCTTCCAGTGGCACAAGGTCAAGGGCACATCCTTTTTCTTTGGAGGAATGCTTGTGGTGATATTCGGATTCCCACTCATCGGCATGCTTATAGAGCTTTACGGTTCCTTTCTTCTCTTCAGGTAAATCGCTAACGATCATACCGTAGAATACCTTTGTGCTGTTCCTTCGGATTACTACATGCCGTTTTTTTGAGCTGTCGCATGCGCTACTAAGTCTGAGTTCACGCTACCCTTGAAGAATATGCATCACTCTCCAACATTTTTTTTCAAATTTCAGTGGATTTTTGCCGGTTATCTTCAATTTCCTGTACCGCGTGCCTGTCATCGGCTGGCTGCTTACTTTGCCCGGGATAAGTAGGGTAAGTAATAGCAATATACTGTTTTTTGATCTTGCTTTTTGATTGCACCCTCTGGCATTCTAAGTAGTCGAGAACCGCTATCTCCTAAGTGAACAAGTAACACTTATTTGATATATAAATAAACGTAGCATCTTTCCCTTATTATCCGCTTATCGTATCCCCAGACCTCCATTACCCCGGCACTTCTTGAACGACGTTGTGGGTAGCAGTATGCCCCCCCCCACATCTTTATGACGCTTTGTTCTGGTCGTAATAATCCGTACTCTTCACTCTAGACGCCTGTACGGGTGACGTCATTTATCACGACATGTTAAGCAGTTTTTGCGTAATTTCTTAATACATCTTGTGTGAGCCTCCTTTGCTGCAGTCCATCGAAAGCGAACTCCCGAGAACATCTTTTTATAGAATGGATCATGGATCGCATCGTAGTTGCCCGGTCTCATGATCGGCAGTATGAATTAAGAACTAGACTTATGGAGATGAGGTCTCTTTAAGGAATTATCCATTTTCATGAATACAAAATGACTTCTGTCTCCGAGGTTTTATTCGTAACTTCTTTAACGAGCTAAATTACTTTATCCAACCGTCCTTAATGAAATGGCTGGGGAAATTAGCTTTCATACAACTTCCATTTATTATTTTCTCGAGCAAAAAATGAATCAGTACGGCACAAATCCTTAGTGCATCTCTCCTAGTATTTAAGGGCTCCAAAATTGCCATTGAAAAGAAAGTGATTCGACCGCCCCAAGCAAATTTATTTGTTTGAGTCTGCATTTTATCTCCGTGTACGTGCTTATTTACTGAGAAATATGTAGGTCGCATACTATATGGCCCCAATCTTGTCAACGAAATGATTAATTCGGAACCCACTTCACTATAAAATGCCTCTTTCCTCCAGGTTACTTCGGCGCTTTCTGGTCAGTCAAAGTCGATGGTTTGAATAAGCGAAACCGGATACTTGACAAAAGCACTCAGCTGACCCGGCGCCTTCTATGGCTGTACATAATTGCGAGTTGATTAACTGAGTTGTACTGGTTGCTTCTTCCTCATTATACTTTATTGTCTTACTGTTTGCCTTTTTTTCTATCCGAAATTTCGATGCATCATCGTATCTATCTTTTACTTCTTGTCGTCGTAAAAATACTACAGCAACATTTTGTGTAAGGGTACAGAGCTGATCCTTTCGTTTCGATATAGTAGTTAAGGAGAGCTTCAATTCGACGTACTCCCCATGCCTTACGAATTTAGATGGTCAACCAGCATGATTAAGACTCCTTCGGTTGCCCTAGTTTGCTGATAAAGTAACTAGTCGGACCGTCACAGCGTGAAAAAAGGAGGTGCGTATATTCCTCAATCAAGTCTTTATTTTTGTGGCACACATCTCTTCTCTGGTCTTCATTGCCACGCAAACACCATCGTACGTCAGGGCTAGCTTAAGCAAATTGAGACCGATGCACTGTTGCGGTGTAAGGGAGTCAAGTGCTGGGTCTGATTGCACAGTATTGGAAGCGTCGTTGTCGGATGCGTAGGGTTTAAGGTGTTCAAGGCTGGGCAGATACTCGTCGCTTAATTCGCGCAGTGTCAGC